GTCCAGCTACTTTCTTTCTTTTTTTTTTTTTTTTAGTAGGGACAAGATGTCTCTCTTGCTTAGGCTGGTCTCGAACTCCTGACCTCCAGCGATCCTCCCACAGTGCTAGGATCACAGGCACGAGCCACTGCACCTGGCCTTTCTCAAAACATTGTACTATCCTTCTTGTGGTGATGTGAGATGATGAGATGCATACTTGCTGAGATGAAGGGAGGTGAAGGATGTAGGCATTATGATGGAGCATTAGGCTGCTCTTGACCTTCTGAGGATGTGTTGAAGGAGGATCATCTGCTTCAGGTGATCCTGGATCATCAAGCCATGACGACACTGATGGTTGGGGGGTCCTCCATGGTTGAAGGTTTTTTTGGCTGAAACCTTTTGGAAGAACATTGTCATTAGAAGTTGTTGTCTCTTTTTAAGTCACCAAAGTATTGTTGCATAGGCTGTAATCCTTCATTGATCATATGGGTGATTTAAGTACTGTGTTCCGTCCAAGGATCGTATTCCATAGTTTTGTTCTTTAATTTCTGTGCAATTCAAAACACTTTGGCAAATTTCGGTAATGTCCGCATTGCTGTATCTGCTCTAATTTCTTCTTCCTCTTCCTCTGTAGATGACTCAACAAGTTTTTCCAATTCCTCATTTAACACTTTTCAACAGCCTTCAGTGTGTTCTTCCATTTCTTCATCAAGCATGTTGGCAAATCCTTTTTTAACAACTTGTTTTGCTGTGTGAATGATTTTCCTTAACTTCTTGATCGATCCCCCGAATCCTTTAAAATCATTCATGACTCCACTCCCTAAGTTCTTCTTGCAGGCATTTATAGTTTCTGGTTTTAACTCATCCATAGCAGCTTTGATGAATGTTTTTGCATCAGCAGTAGCAAATGGTTTCAGCACTGTGTTATGTCCAGTTTAGGGTCTACATCAATTGCTGATCGAATGCCATCAAATACCAGGGAGAGTATGTGGCCGTGAGACACAGAATGATGCCCTGGTCAAGGGGCTGAAGCAGTGAGGTTGTGTTTGGAGGTAAAAATACAACTTCAGCATTTTCATTTTCATAGCAATGAAATTCACAATGGCCAGGTGCATTGTCTATTATTAATAGGACTTTAAATTCGGACCCTTCTTCTTCCAACTATTTTCCCACTCTGGGATGAAGCATTGGTGGAACTATTCCATAAACAGGATGGCTGTCACCCACACTTTCTGATTAAGTTGCCAGAACAAGGGCAGATAATTTTTGTTTTTGTTTTTGAAAGCACGTGGTTTCTTCGTTCTGGACACTAGAGTGGCTTTATTATATGCCTTGCAGTCTTGCCACACAGTACCTGAGTTAATCTGCCCTTCCATGCTTTATGCCTGGTGCCTCCTTTGCACTTTTATGAATGTAGGTTCCATTGGGGATCGTCTTCCAGAAGAGCCTGATTTCATCGCAATTGAAAACTGGCTTTGCATGGTATCTTTTCTCCTTAATCGAGTTCTTCCACACTGCCAAAATGTGACAGCAGCTTCTTCATTGGCAAATCCAGCCTCTCTAGTAATTTTTGTATTTTTCAGTGCAAACCTGTTCCTGAGTCTACGTAACCATACCTTAGTTTCCATAAGTAGCTTAATATTACTCATTTCAGGGGATCCCTTGCTGAAGTCTTCATACAGCCTTTGTGCTTTCTGGTGCAGCATGTTGCTGTGAATTGGAACACATTTTCTGTTCATCTCTTCCACCCACGAATTTAATGCCTTTTCCATCTTAACTAAGCACTTATCAGGCACCGTGGCCATAACGTTTGCAGTTTGAGGTGCAATGGCAAAGCTAGCATGAACTTCTTTTCCTTTCCTCACAATTCCATGCATAGAAGATTTGTTCTTATGGTAGATCTTAGCAACCTCAACATACCATTTTTTTCTTTCCTTATTAAGCTGAGCTCTTTCACCTTGTCATTTAAAGGAAGCACTTTATAGCTTCTCTTTGGCTTATTCAAATTGCCAGCATCACTACTCTTGAGCTTTGGGGCCATTATTAAGTAAAATAAGGGTGACTTAAACACAAGCTCTGCAAAACTGCCATGGTCGATCTGATAACCGAGATGGCTGCTGAATGACTAAGGGGCGGGGAGTGTATACACTGGATACTCCGGACAGAGGGATGATTCGCATCCAGGGTGGCGCAGGACAGCAGCGAGAGATTTCATTACGCTATTTAGAATGGTGTGCAATTTAAAACCTATCAATTGTTTATTTCTGGAATTTTCCATTTAATATTTTTGAACCACAGTTGATCTCAAGTAACCGAAACTGCAGTTAGCAAAACTGTGGATAAGGGGGGACTACTGTAAATTATTCTGGCTTTACTGGTGTTTGATCTTTAAGAGTCTTCTAGCTATGGCTCTAATGAAGGTTCCTGCTTTGTAGTGCCTTTGGTATTGAATTTAATTTTTTTTTTTTTCCATTGCAGGACTATGGCGGCCCAGGAAGCCACTCCAAGCAGCCAGTCAGAGGAGAGCTATGCTTTGGACCTTCCATCAGCGTGTGACATAAGAGATTATGCTCTACAGAGACCCAGCCAAAAGGCCAACAGTGAGGCTTTTAGTTCTGTGGAATCCCTTTCTTTTCCTTGCTCTTCTGATGTGGATCCAGGTAATAAGCAGAGTTTTAAACAAACTAACTTAAAAAAAACAATTAGCAGATACGCAGGTATGTGATAGTTTGTTTCTCTCTTTTCCAATAGCAGATCTCCAAGAATGATTCATTGTCTTAGGTAGAAAAACATCTTACCTAAGCAAAGCTGTGGGGAGAGACTTCAAAGGACAGCCTCCCCTTCTATGACAAAGAGCTGTTTCCTGGAGGTCTTTTCTTTGTTTTTTTTTTTTTTTTTTTCTTGGGTCCCTTTCTGATCTCCATCAAAATGCATTCAGAAGCAGGGGAACACTTGGTTCAACAAAAAGAGAGTGGAATTGTTTTTTTGTTTTGTTCTTTTAAAACTTCAGAAAATAGCAATATGAGCTTGTTATGTGTTATGGGTAATAAAAATAGAGACTTTGGCCAGACACGGTGGCTCATGCCTGTAATCCTACGACTCTGGGAGACTGAGGCAGGAGGATCACTTGAGGTCAGGAGTTCGAGAACAGCCTGAGCAAGAGCTAGACCCTGTCTCTACAAAAAGCAGAAAAATTAGCCAGGCATGGTGGCACGCGCTTGTAGTCCCAGCTACTTGGGAGGCTGAGGCAGGAGGATCGCTTGAGCCCAGCAGTTTGAGGTGGCTATGAACTAGGCTGATGCCATGGCACTCTAGCCCGGGCAACAGAGTGAGACTCTGTCTCAAAAAAAAAAAAAAAAAAAAAAAAAGTAAATTAGGAAAGGTTCTCACTGTAATCTGGCCTTTACCATGCAGTGAACTTGAGGTGGACAGCCCTAAACTCTGAGGGAGGTCACTGCTCGAACAGCCCAACCTGATTTACTCTGATCTGATCATTTTCCCCCTCAAATTTCTCAAAATTGTCCAGGAGCCTGGGTTTTCATTTTCCATTTATAAGTTGAGTCCATTTTCCTTCCTATCACTGCATAGGTCGTTGTAGTCATGGGTTAGTCATAGTTATAGTTTCTCTCCCCTGTAGTCCAGCCCTTCGGTGGATTCTTACTGACATTTTAACCTAGTTCTGATTACTCTGGATCTATTGTTTGCTCACAGACATGCCTACCTTTACACTGATCTCTGTTGGTGTTCTGATGGCTACTCTTCCATCTCAGATTCCTAACACCTCCAGTTCTCAAGCCAACTTGATGTTCTTGGTTTGTTGCTTGTTATTATGTGTTGTTAGGAATTTGATCTTCCAGGGATTGGTGAATACAATCAAGGGTTTCCAGTTGGATAGTTGTTTGGGTAACTCTGCATTGGTCTGTACCCACCCTGGTACACGCTCAGTGAGGCATATCATCAGCTACATTCATGTAGCTTGTACTTGGCTCAAAATACAGTTGACTATCTCAAAAATTGACAGAGTATGGCGGGCTGCTTACAGTAGAATGAAGGTCAAAGGGTGAACCTAGGACATGGATCTCCCAGCTACTGAGCGAAATAGGAGCTGGGAGCTGACATTAGGATTCAGTCAAATCATCCCTGCTGTCAGAATCTCCAGTCAAAGTCCAGACGCACAGTTGGCAAGGGGGTGAGGTCCACAAAGGTGCAGTGGAATAGCCTATGGGTAGCAGAGCACGGTCCTGCAGCAGGCAAGCCAGAGAGAGTACCCAGAAATCCAGGCAGGTGGCAGGCAGTGTGCAGATAGCTTATCAGTGAGTTGTAAGGTCCCAGATTCAAGGTTGGAGTCAGTGTTAACAGTTCAAACCCTTGAAAGTGGAGTAGGCAAGAGAAGTGTTGCCTCAGTTTTGGGAGGTGGCAGGTACCACTGCAAAAACCTGGTTATAAGAATGTGGGCCCAAGCTTAAGCCTAATTGTAAAGGAGTCCCCATTTCACCTTGTAGTAGCCTCTGGCTATGGGCCTATCACTTCCCTGCTCTTCCCAGCCAGCTTTATTGAAGGGGCCACCTGTGCTCCTTCACTCCACGCCTTCATCTTGTGGCCATTCCTCATTCCCAGGCACGTGGCCTCTGCCCCCATGCCCCACTGGACTAACCCTGCCCTTGCTCAGATGCCAGTGGTCTTCCCCAGAAGCCAAACTTGATGGACACTTCTGTGTCCGTATCTTAGGTGCCCAAGTGCCACCTCACTGTTCATTCCCTGGGGGTGGGTATCAGTGGCAAGAGACACGAGACTTAAGAGTGCTTTCTAAGAAACTAATGGATTGATAAAAATCTAAGAGTATTAGTCAGAAAAACCTCAACAGCCTTGGTCATTTCAGGCTGGATATGCAATCACAGGTAAGGCTGGGCTATTTGTGTCTAAATAAGCAAGAGTTCAGCTGTCCTGGAGTTACCAGCCCTCTGGCCACTCCTCATGAAGTGCTGGAAGAGTAAACAACTCCACCTAAGGCAGGCACAGGATTATGAAACTCCTCCCCTCTGCCCTTCCTGGTCAGATAAGGCCGAAGACCCACCACTGCCAAAACAGTCTTCCCGGATCACCTTTTCCACCATGTTCCTCTGTTTAAGTGTCTTTGAGATGTCATCATAGATTTCTTCTTTCCTTCCATTTCTGATCAAAGCTCCTCTGGCTCATTTTCAGGACTCTGTGTAATCTGGTGTCTGGACATTTGTTCAAAATCTTTAACAACCAATATAGCAGTATTGCAGTATTTTAACAACTGGCAAGGCTGTACAGGCACATGCCAGCTGAATAAAGGCCCCACCTGGTGTCTAACTACTCATTAACACAGGCCTGCTACTCCTATCGGGCCTGTTTTCAGGCTAAACCAAACCTTAACGCCTTGTTCTCTTCTTTGGAATGTGTTCCCACCTCCCTGATCAATTCCAGTCCATGCCAGAAACTGATGAATGGAATCCATCAATTAGTCCCAAGTACAGACTTATTAATGGACTTGGACTCCCTGCCTGTTTGATACTTGTTTCCTTTCTCCTTTGCTGCTGGCCTCAAGGGAAGCATACAATATACAGAATGGAGGAGCCGAGTTAAGAGACAAATGATCTTGGTTAAACCTCCCAAGGTCACAAAGGATTTTGGAGGTACAGTCCCATGGGTACTACTGGAGCTTGATAAACTCTGGGTAGCTCATGTGGCACATCTCATCAGCACCCTGTGAAGCCTTTGTCCTGGAGAGCACCCAAGGTGCTTTCTAATACAGGACAAGGAGTTTTTCTCTGAAGTTGTTGTTCAAACATTACAATACAGATGTAGGAAATCTCAGCCCTTTCCTCCAACTTGAACTTCTGTCTAAGAGCAGTGTTGGGGAAATTGGATGAATATATACAGCAGATTGAATGTTAAACACAGTAAGTCTTTGATGATTAAAGGCCCTAGCTGGCAGACAGCTATAAGTTTAAAGTAAATAGTGGTTTAATGCCCCCTTATTCTTATTCTGGGAATTCTTACTCTGGGAATCTGTCAACATCCCAATCTTCAAAGGCCATTTTATAACCTGTGTCTTTAGGCATTTCATCCAAGGAATTTAGTATTTAGGAGAGGTAAATATGTCTGACTTTTTTCCTCTCTATAATTCATATGGTATCTCTTTGTAATTCCATGAGATTTTGTTTCCAAAAGAAAGGAGTTATAAGCTCTTAGAGCCAAAAACTCAAAATAAAATTTATATCATAATTGTTGAATTCTGGATGTGGTGATGGTGGTATTCTTAGATAGGAGTCAGGGTATATTTTAGACACGTAAATAATGGTGAAGACGTTTTCTTTTTATAGGTGCATTAAATGATATCCAACCTAGTGGCAAATGACCCAACACCCCCTATGCTGCCCAGGCTAGTCTTGAACTCCTGGACTCAAGCGATCCTCCCACAACAGCCTCCCAAAGTGCTAGAATTACAGGCATGACCCGCTGTGCCGGGCCCGTGCAGACAGACTACTTCTACCTATGACTTCTCTATCCCTTTTTCAAAAATAAATATAGTTCTTTTTTTTTTTTTTTTTT